ATGTTGAGGACTCTCCTTCATAGGGTCGCTATGAGTCGCCTGCGACTCGACGGCACTTAACAACAACAACAACAGAGAAAGAGGTGGTGGGATCATTAGGGTAGAGTTAGTAGAGATAGATGTAATTTGTTAGACAAGAAAAAATAGAGGACAAATGTCCATCTGTAAAATGGATGTAATTGTTTTTAGGCTTATTTAAGTGGATATTGATTGGCAAGTGGTTTTTTTAAAACTTAAATATAGCATAGAATATTAGAAATTTTCCCGCTACATGATGAATAATTCTCTTCTGTTGATGTAAGTAAGCATGGCTTTGAAACCACAGAAAAAGATAATTTATGCAAGTTATTGCTCTTAGTATAACACCTTAATAAACACATTGTTTGATTAAACCATATGAAAGTTTCTAATATTTGACCTTTTTGATGTACAGAAAAAGAACCATTTCGTATAGTAAAACCTATAGTTTGAAAAGACATGCTTAGTAAGGTGAAGTAGAGTTGGTGAAAGAGAAGACCATTAACAAGACGGATTGACACAGTAACTAACAATGAGCTCGATTATATCAGATGATGAGGGTGGCAGAATAGGGCAGGGTGCAGATTTGCTATTCTTAGGGTCTCTGCGGGTGGTGATTGACTTTATGGCACAGTAACAATATCTGAAACACTTATTAGAAATGGAAGGAAACACATATGCATTATGCATATGGGTAAGCCTATTGCTGTCTAGTTAATTCTGGACTCATTGTAACCCTATGGGGCAGAGTAGACCTGTTGCATAGCTTCATCTTTCTCCCAATGAGTGACTAGTGGGTTTCAACCATTGACTTTGTCTACAGTCACATTACCATGAATTCACCCAATCTGATCAAACCACTGACTTTTCAGTTAGTCACTGAATGCTTAAACCACTGTGCTACTTCGGTTCCTTATGCTCAGGGATATGCTATTCCTTATAAGTCCCCATTTTTATCCATAACTAATCTTACTGTTATGAATAAAACAGTATTGTTATGAATGTTCCGAGTAAAACAAAGGCACAGGATAGAGCAAGTCATCAACACAATCCTGTTGCTACCAGGAGAGCCACTTCTTGGAAAAAAGATGCTGGAAAGGGAGAGGATCAAGAGAGGAAGACCCTCAAGGAGATGGCTTGACACTGACTTCCCAGTATGTTGGAGATTGTGAGTGTGGTGCAGGACAGAGCAGGGTTCTTTTTTTTTTGTTCACAGGGTTGCTATGAACTCACAGGGTCAACTCCATGGCACCTAATGACAACAACAATCTTATTGTAAATTTAATACTGTCAATCAGCACAAACATTAAGTCTCTCTCCTGTCTTGTCCGCTGAGAATGTTTTATTTCAGGTAACTGTATTCTGTGGTCACCAAGCACTGGATCGTCTTGCTTTTCTGTTGGCTTGTAGATAGGGCATTTGACATGTACAGTCTTGGGTGCTTCCCTTACTTTCTGCTCACTTTTAGAGCTGGGAATAAATACCTTTTGCTCTAGCAAAAGATGTTATGCTCTCGCACCTTGTGTTAAGTGCACTTCTAGACTCTTGCTTGATTTCTTTTCACCTGTAGCCTGGTGATAAACTAGAGGCAGTTCAGTCTTGGCAGATGGAGGGTAAATATTTGTAAAGGATACTTTAGTAAATGGGTTCTGCATGCTTGTTGTTTATTTTTATTGACTGTCATGATTAGTTCGAAGTTGAAGAATCTTTCTATAGAAGAGAACTACTTATGAGGCAAATGATTTTGGAGTACACAGCTTTCCTTATAGTAGCTCTGAATTTAGCATTCTGCATTCTTCTTTAAATACCTTTTTTAAAACTAAAGAGCTTCATTTAATATAGAACAACTTTTAGCACATTACTGTCACAAACTACAGGCTTTCATAGCCCCTGGGTATGTGCTCTGGTTCAGCCTAGCCCCTCTAGTAGTTGCTGCTATTCATGCGTTGATTGTTATTGTGTACCATGGAGTTGGAATTGACCCATAGCTGACCTCCCAGTGGGTTTTCAGAGGCAGTAAATCCCTCAGGAGGAGATGGCCCAGCTTCTCCGCGTAGCAGCTGGTGGATTCAGACCACATAAGCAGTGCAGTTCCTTTCCACCAAACCACCATAGCTCCCGAGAAGAGCTTTGTAAAATTATAAAAAGTGAAGACCATAACGTGATTCTCACCTTCTCACCTTCTTCCACACATGGCAGAATGAAAGTTGGAAGCTAAGATGCCTGGCGACTCTTGGGGTTAAGATCCCTAGTGCAAGCGAAGTGAGAAAAGGAAATGTCAATTAGTAGTTATCAGCCATTTAAGTTGATAGTCTATCCTGTTTGGTGTTAATTATTATTCTTTTATCTTGGTTATTTTTCATAGGATTTTTGTTCCTTAAATCCTAGGGAAGGGAGTGTATACCATCACCTTTATCTTAAGTTGGCTCTGAGTGGAAATAATTGTATTCTCCAATAAGGTCTCCAGAAACTCAAGAGTCATGGAACTAAGTAACTTTGACCAGAACCTAGAAACTAGGATAGGTCTAGAGCCCTTTCCTTGTCTTCTCTGAAGAAGGAGTGGTAGTTCTCTTCAGTAACACCTAAGAAGTTGGATTCTGAAGTGTCAACTTTGAGTTACTTTTCAATGACAGTGAGTTTAGTTTTAAGTTTTTGTTGTTTAAATTTTAAAACAAAGAATATGGAGATGACAGAACAGTAAAGAATCACCGTAACAGTAGATAAAGAATTGGTAGACAAAAATCATTACTAGCAGGTTAGCACTTAAAATGAATGAAGACTATAAGGTGATGATGGTAATTTGTTTGACACATATGATTTTTCTTTAAGTTTTTGTTATAATCCTAAAGGTGTTTTTAAGACTTAAAATATTTTTAAATGATATGTATTTAACTTTACTCTCTTGTGGAACATCTGTAAGTATAAATAACCAATTATTTATCAAAGATTATAATTTACAATTCTCATGAGGTAGTTGGAGTCTTCAGCACAAAGTTTTCTAACCTTGGAGGACACTTAACAGTATTTTTTTCCCTTGTAAAGGAAATAGAAAATTTCTTCATGACTCATCATATTTAAATTTCATTTCTTTCACATGCCTTGTATAATTAAGAGTTGCAATTGGGAGTTTGTTTGGGTTTTTTATTTACAAAACATTTTATATAAACAAAAGTCAATATTTTCATAGCAATATTTAACTGTCTACTCTGCAGCCACACATGGGTTGTTTTGAGTGCAGTCTTTTTTTTTTTTAATGAAAATTTACAGAGACTTTGGATTTCCATTTATTCGTTGTTGCACACTTTTCTCCCTGCCAACCCCTCCTCCTTAGTTTGCTTTTCTCTTTGAAAAGAAAATTCTTGTTAAACAACACCCCTCCCTCCCCAAGTCCACTCCACTGTGCAGCTTTCTTAAAATCTTTTTAAACAAAATAGTCTATTCCCATCTTTTCTAAGTCTGAGGATGAAAAATCATCACTTAGCCTTTAGAAAGGGTGAATGTGTGTTTTAAGAAATGTTTGGGAACTAGGGAGCAGCAGTGAGCGTTTCAAAAGTACAAGTGTACTGAATCTGCTCTGTGCTCCCCGGGCAATCCCAGCAGCCATGTCTTGTATATAAAGAAACTGCTCTCAAGGTGAAGGTGTTGGGTCCATGGAGTGCCAGACTTGGAAACAACCCCAGGGGACCGTGAGCTTTCCTCCACTGGAGTTGACTTGGAAAATCATACACTTTTCAGTTACGAAAGTGCCACTTTTAGTCCATTATAGCTTTATATGATCTTCCAATATGCTGAATTTACTCTCGAGAAAGTAGGCAGGGAGCTCTTGTGGCCTAGTGGTAACAACCTGTGCTGCAATCTCAAAGGCATGTGGTTCATTTCTGCCAGCTGCTTCACAGGGCAAGGATGGGCACTCTCCAGTGTGATTTACTGTCTCTGAAATCAGAGTTGGTTCTGACTCGATGGCACACAGAAAATCCATCAGACAGGGTGGTGGTGGTTATATGCATCGAGTTGCCCACAACTCATAGCAACCCTATGGACAACAGCTCTGAACCCTGTTCTATTCTATGCCAACCTTATTGTCTCTGACTCAGACTCACCTACCCCCATTACCCTAGTCACTGAGAGTCTTATTCTCTTGTGTTGTCCTTCTACCCTCCCAAGCATGACTTCCTTCTCCAAGGACTGGTCTGCCTTGCAACATGGACCAAGTAAGAAATAGAAATCAAATGACAGGAATACTTTAAAAAATTATTAGAGACAGGAGCTAATGGAATAAACTGAGCACGTATGAAGGGACGAGGAAGTGATGTGACCCTGGGGCTCCAAAAGCCTGAGCTCTTGCCTCTAATAATTTTTTTAAGTATTCCTGCCATTTCATTTCTATTTATTTGGTCAATTTTTATTGCCTCCACTCTTAGGGCCACTTTTCAAGAGATGCGTTCAAAGACATTCCTGTTCTTCAGAAAATATTTTAAAGACCCTTAGAGAACCATACTTAGTGGAAATGAATAGGTGATTGACAAAGAGTTTAAGCAGATTCAGATCTGAACCATAAGAAAAGGTAATTATTGCCCAAGGTTATTGAAAATACTTGGTGAAAGGGATGGGAGAGAATCGTCCTGAAGTGGTTGAGAACCACAGGGGTTTAATTGTACAAGCTCTGTTGTCTCAGATTGTTGGTGGTGGTTATTAAGTACCATCAAGTCAGAATCAACTCATAGCTGACCTTCCGTGTGGCTTTTCAGAGGCAGTAAATCACACAGGAGGAGATGGCCCATCTTTCTCCTAGGCAGCATCTGGTGGATTTGAACTAGAACAGGCGGCTAGAGAGCTAGTAGTAGTCGCTATAGTGGACTCAAGCACAGCAGAGATTATGAAGATGACACAGACTGGGCAGTGTTTCTATTGTACATAAGCACACTGGGAGTCTGAATTGGCTCAGCAGTGCCTAAAAACAACAACAATGATTAACATACTCAATTTCTAATTGAAAGGTTAAAGATTGGAGTGTACCCAGCAGGGACTCAGGAGAACGCCTTGGTAATTTATTTCTAAAACATCATCCATAAAAAAACCTTATGGAGCAGTTATAATCTGACATACATTGGAGCCAAGAGTTGGGATCGACTCAGTAATGCCTGATTTTAGTCCATTCTGCAGACTCCTGCAGTCTCTGGCCATCCTCCTTGAACTCACTAGGGGCTTGGCTGGGCAGCCTCCAGTGTTTCTACAAGGTTTCTGTGATGACGACAGATTTTCCCTCCCCCTCAGTGCCATTTCAGGTGGTAACAGCAGCACCTAGACAGGTGATGTCAGCAGGAGTGCCTCTTTTGTCCTGAACTCAGCACCTCTCTCCTGAGGTTGTCACAGCGAGAGGGTGGGAGCAGCCAGATAGACTATGGTGGAGGTGGGCCAGTGGCCTGAGAGGACACGGATGCATTTCCTACATCTCTCTTCAGCTAGATGATGGGACTTAATATCCTTAAATTTTGAACTTAAGTATAAAGATGAGATACTTTTAATGTTGGATAGTATAGTTATTCTTAGGTGCTGTTGAGACAGAACTGACGCATAGCTGACCATCTAGTGGTTTTACAACACTATAAATCACACCAGAGGAGATATCCCATCTTTTCCCCACAAAGCAGCTGATGGATTTCCAACCACCTGCCTTTGAGTTGGCAGCACAACTCTTTACCCATTAGGCCACCAGAGCTCCCTATGTAAGGAAATTATTGCTGTTCTTAAGTACCGTTGAGTCAGAACTGACCCATAGCTGACCCTTCAGGGGGGTTTCAGAGGCAGTAAATTGCATGGGAGGAAATATGTAGGGTAGTAGGGTATTTGGATATTTAAAAACTGTACTTTAGTAAAATTGCTCTTATTTTCATAAATTTTTGTTATCCAAAAATTAAAACATTGGGAACAGAGTGGAGAAGAGTGTAAAGGCACCCATTGTACCTATATTCGCTTAAACAGGTACTAACTCTTAGATATTTGTTTCAGTTGTCCCCTTACCTTAGCCCAGGTGATTTTTGAGTAATACTCCAAAGATGGAAAGCTCTAAGCAACTTCTTTTATTATAAAGGAACATGTTGCAGTTTTAAATTTGCAAGTTGCAAAATAAACGAAGTACACATTTCCAGTCTTTGTGCTTCTCTCCACAACCACTGCTGTCACCATGGTCCTAGCTGGGTCGGGTCTCCCCTCAGTTGTTCCAGCAGCCTCTCACAAGGGTTCTCTGTTCCTCTCCTGACTTCCTCCAAGTCAGAGATTCATACAAAAGCCATTGGATCAGGACATTTCCCAGGTATTTATACCTCTTGGTACTTAGAATTATGTGCTTTTAAGGCTGGCTACTTTCTCTACACTCATTTCATACCACCGCAAACTCTTCCCACTTAAAATGTTCTGAGCCCCACAGCTTCTTGCACTTGTTTGGTTCTTCATTTAACCCTGTCTCTTTCCTGTGCTCCTTCCTCCTTAGCCATCCCACAGGCTACCTACATCCTTACGTTTTAAGAATTGAAGTTACTTCTTCTGAGGTTTCCCAAATCTCACACCCGCCAACTATACTTCTGTCCCCTTCCATCTAAATCCAGTTCCCTGATTAATTCAAATTATAATTTTGTCTCAATATATTTGCTTAATGTTTCTCTCTAACTAGAATGGGAAAGAGATCTTGAAGGTAAATTTGGTCTCTTTGGGCTGTTCTGCAGTGAGCTTAGATCAGAACATATAATAACTATTCCAGTAAGTATTTGAAGAGTGAATTGACTTCTTAGAATATGAACAGGGAGCTCTGGTGGCCTAGTCTGTAGGCAATTATGCTTCTAATCCAAAGGCCACACTTTGCTTGCAGTTCGACTCCACTCACTGCTTCATGGGAGGAAGGTGGGCAGTTGCCTCAGAAACCCACAATGGAGAATGAGCTGTGAGTTAGTTCCAAGTTAATGGCAGTGAATTGGGTTTGAGTAGAGGATGGACACTACCATTACTTCCAATTCAGTTTTGCTGGGCATTCATAAAACCACAATGCTAAAGAAGTAAATTTAGCCGTACAAATTCATCATGCTATAATTTGTCAAGGAAGTGCAAAAATGCAAGTAGGTGCTAACATTACCATTTTCCTTAATTCAACACTGTTAAGGTGTCAGAAGGTTAAGCCTGTTTTTCATAATGGGCCAGTTTAGTCCAGGAATGCAAGAGTGATTCTCTTACAAACATGAGGTCAAGTTGTGTCCTTATTTTATCAGTTTTGGTCCATTTTCATGTTTGACATCACCAAATATGTGACAAATCAGAACCTAAAAGCCCCATGCCTTTTAAAATCTAAGTTTGTTGAGTGCTCAACTGTCCTTATTTCCTTGAAAGTTTTCTTGTCTTCATTCTTGGCTTTGGTCATTTTTTTTTTCTTAAGCCCAAATAATATGTAATTTAATGGCTGTGATAATTTGTCTCCATTCACATTTCACTTACTAGTGATTAAAACTCAAATTCAGCCATGAATTGTATGCATTTTAGATCAGTATTAAACATGAATCCAAAAAACCTACTGTTGTCCACTCACTTACTCCCAACTCCTGGCATTGGTGTCTGAGACTAAATATTTATGGAAAGAGACTGCTTATCTTTCCCTGAAGCACTTGAGGGATTCAAACTGCTTAGCTCTCATTTAGCAGATCAGTGTGCTAAGAACTAACAACCATGGTTCTTTAAATGAAACATAGTAATATCAATTTCAGGGGTGAAAAAAATCAACCCTTAGCCAGTTACTAGGAAGAGCTGCTGAGAGGAAACTCAGTTCTCTTACACAAGGATTCCTTTTTGCTTTTCTAAGATATTAAGAAGAAAATCAAGAGTTTATATTCTGTCTCCTCTTTATGTTCGTGGTTATATGCCTTTCAAAAATAACTCATAATGAACCTTCTCATGAATTTTCCATGTCTTCTATTGGGGCTCTAGTTAAATTCCAGGGGTTATGTTATCAGAAGGGGCCAGTCCCTAGTAAAGGGCATCATGCTTGGATAAATGGAGAGTCAGCAAATAAGACCCTTAAGGAGATGAATTGATTTGGTGATCACAGCAAAGGTTTAAATACAGCCGAGATTGTGAGGTGGTGTGGGGTTGGGTAGGGGCTCCTTCTTTTGTAGGGTCTCTATGTGTAGGAGCCAATTTGATGGTACCAGCTCTATGAGTAATTCGTACAGGAAGTGAATTCTTCCTAACACTTTGCAAGTCGATTGAAGTTGTTAATTAGGTAGAGAAATTATAGGAGGAGAAATTCACCAGACATGTGTGAATTTACAGTTAATGAGAACAATTCCCTTTTCTAGTTAGGTCATGTGCTCACACTTCCATGTCTGTGTGTCTCTGCTGTCAGAGGCTCTGTGCATCCTTTTGTAATCATTGCTTCTGCAGGTTCCAGAGACATGTGGAGAACATCTAGGATCTGAGGTTTGAAAACACTTGCTTTGTTACAGCCAGATGGTTTTTGTAGTGTCCCGGGAATGTGTGTAAACTATAAATTACTATATACAGTTCAAACCCACTACAATCTATCAATCAAGTAATTCCAACTTGATCGTGACCCTGAAAGATGGATTAGAACTGCCCTGTAGGGCTTCCAAGCCTGCAGTTTTTATGGAAGTAGATTGCTGGGTCTTTCTGTCACAGACCTGCTGGAGGGGTCCAGTTAGAAGTGGAGCAATTAATCATCACACCACGAATGCTCCTTTGATGCTACTACAGTGTTATATGCTGTCTGGCTGATTCCAACTCCTCAAACCTGTAGGACAAAGTAAAACTGCCCATCGGGTTTTCTAGACAGCCATCTTTATAGGATCGAATCGCCACATCTTTCTCCTCAGGAGGGGCCTGGAGGGTTCAAACTGCTATTTTTCATTTAGCTGTCAAGTGCTTAAACACTGTCACCAGGGCTGCTTATATACTGTTAAACTATTGGAAAGGGTTTCAGTCTTAAGAGTACATTTTCAAAAGTGAAAATTAATGGAAAACCAAGAAGCCAGACTAGAATACAGATAAAGATGGGGTAGAGAAGGAAGGAGACCTAGAAACAGGAGTAGGAACAGTGGAGAAGTGTTTAATCCAGCAAGCCTGGCCCCTGTGTGTGGATGTGAGTCTGTGAAGACTCATTCCCTTCCCACCCTCAGGTCTCTGCGAGGTCAGTGTGTATATAGTTAACAGGCAGTTCTGGGTATTTAGGACTGAAATACAAATGAGGGAGAAAATATCTGATATATTTATATCAAGCTGTGATGGCCTAGTGGTAAGGAAATGTGCTGCCAACCTGAAGGCACACAGTTTGAATCCACCAGCTGCTCCATCGGAGAAAGATAGGCTATCCCTCTCCCATATAATTTACCACCGCTGAAAACCCACCGGAGGGTTAGCCATGAGTTGGTTCCGAGCTGACGGTACATAGCAACAACATGCTGAAATATTAATCTGAAGATGCTATTGTTGTATGTTCTTGAGTCCAAGCTAACTCCTAGCTTACCCTCCGGCAGGCTTTTCGAAGCTGTAAATCACACATCAGGAGTTTGCTGGTCTTTCTCCCACAGAAGCTGGTGGATTCAAACTGCCTGCCTTTGGGTGGGCAGTACTAGTCCCTTCATATTAGGCCACCAGAATAATGGTTTATCAGGATGTTCTAGGATAAAAAAATAGTCTTTGTTATCATCAAGGTTGTTCGTGCAGGTCAGCATCATCCATTATGCATATTACACTTTTAAAAAATACTTCATTAGTTTCTGTAATCAAACTCATGTAGATAAAACCTTACCTATTTGATACAGTGTGTTTGTTACCTCTGTGCAAATGAGAAAAAAAAAGTTTAACATTTCCAGAACAATATGGTGGTTAATTTCTGTAAAATGCCCACTCAACACAGTACAACTTGGATGCTTTTCCCAAAGTTGACAGCATAGCTAACGTTTCAGAAAATTCAAATTATGGAGCTCTGGTGGCCTAATGGCAAGAAGCTGCACTCCAGTCCCAGAAGTACATGGTTTGAATCCACCAGATGCTCAGCTGGAGGAGGGACAATCTCCTACTGTACCAGTCAGATCCGATTTGACGGTACACACGCGCGCTCTCGCTCGCTCTCTCTCTCTCTCAATTGTATATATACATGTTGGCATATGTATATTTGTACGTAAAGACAAATCACAGTGTATGTGTCAGTAGCAGCAACAGTCGAGGTTCTGCTATCGAGTCTGAACTGACACATAGCTGACCCTCAGGCTACTTTTTGGAGGTAGTTAATTACACAGGAGGAGATTGCCCTTCCTTCTCCAGTAGAGCAAATGGTGGCCTTGAACCAAGAGTTCATGATTTTTTTAAACATTTTGTTTTGGCATACATTTTTTCTTATTTTAATGAAAGTTTATAAAGAACTTTTTCCCATTCATTCACTGTTGCTCATTTTCTTCCCTGTCTCCGCTCCCCCCAGTTCACTTTTTTGTATTGCATAAAAATGTACATATTTTCTCCCCTTTGCCATAGAATATCCATTTCCTGTTGGCTCTGAGTCCCTCACCTCCTCTGCTATCCCAGGCTTAGCACCTCTTTTGGGCACAGCAGTCATTGGGAGTGCTCTCCATGTGGTGTGAAGAGCAAGCAACTCTAAGCCAGAAGGATGACCAAGAGTCAACTTTTTACTGCCAAGGATGGAGTTAGGCTTGAGTATAATAATATCCAAAAGCTTGACTAGGGAAAACAGAAATTTCTGTGCCCGGCTCCTCTTCATCAATCCTGATTTCATATTGCCTCGCCATTTAGCAGGTCATTACACATAACACAGGAATGTACTATGCTGTAAGAACCTTGGTAGAATGTTCGTAGGATCTCTTGTTCCAAAGGGCTTTCATTAAACTCTACATCTAGGTTCATGCAGAGGAAGCTCAGAGGCACTGAAGTGCACTTGTATTGTAATGAATGCAAGTTGATTCTGCAAATAGGGATTTAATGAAAATCAGTGTGCCAAAATAACTTGGAGGGTCACACAGTCATCTAGATGTTTAAAATACGCATTTTCAAAACCTAGATGATGTAGGTCCTTGGAGAGTGACATCATGCTTGGTAGGGTGGAGGGACAGCGCAGGAGGGCAGGCCCTCTGAGGTGGATTGATTCAGTGTCTGGGGTAATTGGGATGGGTGTGTCAGAGGCAGTGCAATTGGCACAGGACAGAGCAGAGTTTAGGGCTGTTGTACATAGAGTCGCTGAGTGGCAAGTGACTCGATGACACAACAACAGCAGGTGATGTAGGCATAGCTCTCAAAACCATATGGAATAATCAGGTTTTCATAGTGAATCTGCAGATCGAAGGGATGGTGTTTGGGGAGGAAACTAGAGTGTATATATAAGCTAGGGGTTTGTTTTGGTTTTTGTTTCTTGTTTGTTAAGAGAACACCATGTTTGTCTAAATTTCAGCAAATCTCATTTCATTTAGCTCGAAATACGATTTCCTCTTGAAGTAAATAAGAAGCATTAAAGCAGCAGGCTCATTTTTAGTATGGTTTCATTGGAAAGGAAAATCAGCTTCGTTGTGTGTTTTCTGGAAAGCCCCAGTGGTGTGATTGTGTGAAGGGCTCACCATATGTGCTCCGTGCACTGCTGGATACACAGAGTTTGGGGACAAGTGGCATGGCCCTGTGCACAAGCTCGTGTAGCTGGAGACGTCTCGGAGCAGCAGCTACCGGGCAGCCCAGGCACCCTGCTCACAACTTTCCATTATGGATTAAGCTGACTCTGCCAATCTCGCTCTACTCAAGACACCAAACTGGACGCTTGCAAGACTAGTGCCTTACAAATCTTTGAGATGCTTTTCTTATTATAGATGAAATATGAACATTGTATTTAGGAGCGGGATCCAACAAATGCCAATGGTATTTATGTAAGTCATTCAGCTTTAGTACAACAGCCTCTTGAGAATAAAACCAAATAAGCTTTTCATTTTGCTCTTTGAGTTTAGCCAGTGCTTTGTATTTGTTTGTAGAATATGCTAAATTCAAAATAAGCTGCTTTATCAGAAATTTAATTAACATGTAAGGAATCAAGATTGCTTCCAAAGTAATACAAGTCCCTTTGACGACAAAGCTTCTTAGCATTTCCCGGTGTGCCAAAAGAAACCGATTCAGGCCAAGTAAAAGACATTCATTTACTTTGTAATCTTTTTAAAATAGTAGATTATTCTAGAGATTAATAAAGAATTTTATTACCTTTCTTAAAAATAAGGTGGAAAAGAAATTGCAGGATTTTACTGTCTCAAATCCAATTGCCTTTTTAGCACAATTGCTTGATCTTGAAGTCCCTGTCTAATTTCTAACTTGGCCATGGGGATTATTTTGAACTATTAACTCATGTACTTACCCTTGTCCTGCTGCAGGAGGGTTTTTGAGATGCAGGATGTGTGTGTTGTGGTGGCGGGGTCTCTTGGGTCAAACACATTCCCAGGACACCCCACTGAAGCTAGCAGTTTAGGGTTCATGAATGAGAACAGTGGTGTTGACTCACCCGTCCATCAGTCCTGGTCTCTTGTGCTGTCTTCCTTCCTACCCAACTCAACTGTTCTTTGAGTTGCACCACAAAAGTTAGATTATCGTGTGCCATCAAGTAGACTCTCAACTCATAGTGACCTTATTGGACAAAGAGACTACACTGTAGGTTTTCTAAGTCCATGGGAGTAGACCAGCAAGTCTTCTTGGAGTGAGTAGTCGGTCAGTCTAATTGTTGACCATTTGTGCCACTGCAAGTTTACTTTGTAAAAAAAACCCCAAAACCTACCAAACTCCCCATATACGCTGGAATGTTGGCATTTTGATTCTTACTTGTCAGCAGTTGACTTATTAGTTAATCCTTAGTGTGAATTTGCAGAGCAGAGAAGACTAACAGGGCTGCCGGCCCATTTTGTACTATTCTAGTCTTACTGAAATATTCATTCTTATAACCAGTACTTTAATACTACTCTGTTCTTTACTCTGTACATGTAAATGATGGTGATGGAGCCTGGCTGAGGTAGTACATAACCTGTTGGACTGCTAGCCAAAAGATAGGCAGTTCAAACCCACCGGTGGCTCCTTGGGAGAAAAATGGGTGTTCTCCTCCTACAAAACTTTACAGCCTCAGAAGCCCAGTGGAGATTCGCTGTAAGTCGGTATTGACTCATCGTCAGTGGCCTTTGGTTTATCAGGTGATTGGTACCTTTCTGTGAGCTTGGGGGGCTCCCTCAAAAACCA